AGTTAGCCCATTGGGTGATACACTGAGGTTTCATGTTTCAGTAGATGCTTGAATGCCAAAGTTCCAGGGCTACCATATAAAACAAGAAATCAAACTAACAAATGGAAAACTATGTTTTTATTTTAAAACATTATACAAATCTTGAAAACTGGGTAAATAAAAGAAAGTGACAGATATGATACTTTGCATGGTTAAGAAAAAAAATGTTTTATTTAAAACTATAAAGAAAAAAATCACAATGTTTGCACTCAATAAAATTATAAAACAAACCCTGTTGAATTTTTGGTTTAAGGTCCATCGAAATAATATTGTTAAAATGCACTTGCCTTACTTTGAAATTTATCTGAGAAAATTTACATATAAAAAATATAATTAATAATGCTTAAATGCATGTTAAATTTAAATAGAATAGCAACACTCTATATATATATATATATATATATATATATATATATATATATATATATATATATATATATATATATATATATATATATATATATATATATATGCTATTTTTCTCGAATAATTATGATTTTATGTATTACCTTCTTCATAAACAAGAATTATGATTAACAGATCATTACTTAAAGGTCAATGATCATAATGTTCAGGTTTTTATGCTACCTATGTCATTATCACTGTAAAAAGTATTTTTGGAGTCATTATTGAGTTTTAAGCAGTCCTAAAAGCCATTCAAATTCGAGTAATATCAACAGAGGTATAATAAAATATAAACGCACATTTAATATACGTTCTGACAAAAACTCACAAAACAATATTTTGCAGTTCTAATGTCTCAGAACCATTCACGATGAAATCCTCCAACGACTGAACCCGATCCACACGATCTTTCACTTTACACGAACGATCAGGCACGTAACACAAAGGATTCTGCATGATTTGTTTTTCAATAATTACACTGCAGCCATTGTAAAAAATAGAATCAAAGTCATGGTTAAAACCTAATTTTTTAAAAAAGCAAACATAATTAATGCCACGAACAAAACTAAATAATCAATATGCTCTTTTTCAGAAAAAGGAAGGGTTGAAATATCATTATAAGCAAATCGTATTTCTTTTGATAAGACGCTTTTATTTCATTCTTTTTTCAATAGCTTAAATTGTTAAGATTATTCTCAATTCTCTAAAAATATCAAATAAATATTTTTTTTTAAAGTAGGAATCTTAACACTGTATAATTAATTTTATATATCCTCATTTACATGTAAATCCATTTTCATTGGTTCATCAAGGTCTTGTTTTATCTGCTTTTTAACTTCCAAAATGTTTTGTTGTATTCATTAGCCGTTCAAATTTTAAATTACTTCAGATGTGGACCTAATTTATATTTTTCTCCTTTGATTAATAAGGGCATTTAATTTTTGTGTTCTGAAGAAGAGCCACAACTTGACAACAAATGGACAAATGACAACTAAAAATTATCTTTTACACGTCCGAGTTATCCACTGTATTGTCTGGCATTGCCATTTTGGTATTTTTGGTCCTCTGGGTATTTTGTGCTATTTGGGTATTTTGGGTTGTCTGGGTATTTTGTGCCATTTTTGTATTTTCGGTCATTTTGGTATTTTCGTTCATTTGGGTATCTTCGATACATGTAGCCCTATGTCTGCATAATGCGCACCAGTGTCGTATTTTGTATAAATAATACCTGACCATGCCATAACAGGAAATACAAGCAAAGAAAAGGTCCAGAACCTAAAACAAAATACAAAATATTTTGAAAAAGACAAGTTGAATAACTGTCTATCTATAGTTATCTTTAATTAAGCACACTAATGTATGAGAGTTAATCCACAAGGTTGTGGAATTTATTTCTAAAATTTAATTGTGATTTGGTGAAAGCTAACAATAGGCATCTATACTTATATTTTGCAAATAAACTCCAAAACGGCTGCACCAGTTTTTAATTACTCATTTAGAAATACATCTCATGTAGGTTTAAGGTGATTTCAGATGTCAATCGCATAGTAATTATAGTATTTTTGCTCTCTTGTTTCAAAGGATACTATGTATCCAAATATTTAATTAGATTTATCCCCAAAAGGAAGTATTAAAAAAAGACATACCCGTATATTACTCCAGAATGCCGTTATAAAAATGCACGATTTATTCTGCAGACAGGAATTTAATTAAGGAATCACTGTCTAGTTAGGAGGGTATATCAGGGCATCAACAATAGTGGGAAACATGGGATAATTTGCATAACGGGCGAAGCCCGTTATGCTAAAATTATCCCATGTTTTCCACTATTGTTGATGTCCCTGGCATACTCTCGAAACTAGACAGTGATTCCTTATATTTCCATTTCATTGTGAAATAAAATTGTAGATTTAGACATTAAGATGTAGACTAATCGATTTAAATTACACGAGGACTTCTATGCCAATTTCAATAGTCCTCGCACACTGACGTCAAACACAAAGGCAGCCGCACGAGATTTACATGCATATTTGGCCTCCTTAGCGTCAGACACAGAGACAGATGCGCACGAGATTTGCATGCGTATTAGGCCTCCTTAGCTGCTGACCTATCGACCTGCCTAATTTACATTCCGGCAGAATTATCAGGAAATCAACTCCGCTTAATTTCAAAGGGTTATTATAGAGAAAAAATTTAGAAATGGAAATATTTGATCATATTCATTTATGTATAAAACGTTGATTTACTACTGTGGCTACCTCTTCTTTGGGATGAAAAAACTCTGAATATTATGAATTAGAACTTATCCTGTGGAACTTTATCTGAGGGAGCGTTTACAAAAGTGTTCTTACTAGTTAAGCTGCCAATATTTGTCATCACACATAAGCTTAAGTTACTTTCAAAAGTTCAAAACTTAAAAAGATTACAGATAGACGGATAAACAAGAGGCCCATGGGCCACATCGCTCGCCTGAGTAACCGGGGTGATGCGGTTCTTTACCAGATTTCCCCTATTTTTATACATATTGTTGCCCACTACTCCCCTCCCCTGTCATGATTTTAATACTTTAGAATTACACTACCCCAGGATGCTTCCACATAGTTTCAGCTTTCCAGACCCAGTGGTTCTTGAGAAGATTTTAAAAGATTTTTCATTTATATTTCTAAGTAAAAATGGATTCCCTATTGTGGCACCACCCTACCCCCGGGATGTCATGATTTAAACAGCTGATAATTTACGCTATCCCAGGATGCTTCCATAACAATTTCACCTTCACTGGCCCAGTGGTTCTTGAAGATTTTTAAAGATTTTTCCATTATACTAGTACATGTATTTCTGTGTTAAACTTGGATTCCCTGTTGTGGCCCCGCCCTACCCCTGGGGGTCATGATTTTAACAATTTAAAATTTACACTACCCCTGGATGCTTCCATAAAAGTTTCAGCTTCTCTGGCCCAATGGTTCTTGAGAAGAAGATTTTTAAAAAATTTTCCTTTATATTTCTATGTTAAACTTTGATTCCCTATTGAGGTTCAGCCCTACCCCAGGGAGTCATGGTGATCAAACTTGAATCTACACTACCTGAGGATGCACTTGAGAAGAAAATTTTTAAAGAATTTTTCTATATATTTCTATGTAAAACTTTGGTCGGCCATTGTGGTCCCGCCCTACCCCCGGAGGTCATGATTTTTTAAAATTAGATTTTACAATACTAATTGAAGAAGATTGATTTTTTAATGACCCCACCCTATTTTTTGTCTTTTCTTGCTTATCTCACCTTGTAAGGGGACTTGGTCCTTCATTTTTACAATTTAAATTCCTCTTCACCCAAAGATGCTTTGTTTGGTTAAAATTGGCCCAGTGGTTCTTGAGATGAAGTCGAAAATTTGAAATGTTTACAGGCGAACGAACGGACAGCTAGACAGACGTCCGGACAGAAAGACGGCGGACAAAATGTGATCAGAAAAGCTCACTTGAGCCTTCGGCTACGGTGAGCTAAAAATCTAGACAAATGGATTGACGCCGATTACTAGGTGATCAAAAATGATATTTTATTTATATCCATTGAACTAAAAATTAAATTAAAAAATTACCTTTATTATCCCCAAAAGAAACACAAAAGTACACAGTACTTGAGTATGAAAAACATCAATGGAAACGTCATTTAGACTCTTAAGTCTTTGAAAACAGCCCTGGAAAAAAACAAGATGAAATTAAAATATTCATCAAAATTTTTTATCAGATTCAGACATTTGTTATCATATACTGATATTGACAATTCTAATAATTTTTCAGATATGCTGAATTTAAAAGAATGCATGTTTATCTCCATAATATACTGAAAGGAAAAAGAAACCCAGGGTAGCATAATATTCGATTTTTTTTTGATCGCACGACCGAAAATTACGAAAATGGTTAAGATGAGAATTTTAGTTACTATGCACCAAAATCAGTGTTCAAAACTACTTAACCGGAAACTGTATGACGTCCTGAAGGGAAAACGCTAAAAAGCCCAAAACATGTGCAAATTGATGATGACGAGTTTGTCAGTGAATCTTGTTGTTCCATTTGATACACCTGAGGTATACACCTTAATTTTTTTTATCAATATTTACAGACGATATGAATTTCTTGCAATCGTGGTACAGTTTACGAAAGTCTCATGGGGTCTGATTTTTGAATTGCAAAAGACAGGACAAAGGCAACAGGGGGGTACTGAGCAGTGTCTTGTAATTTTTCCCCATAGAATGTGATTTCCGTTGTCGGAGAGGGCCTGAAATGGTTTCCATCCAACCGTGACGATGACGTTAACGCGAAACATAGTCACGTTACGATCGAGTTATTCGTCCTGCCCCTTGTTTAATCGCCACCTTACTACAACAAAACCGTTGTCAATACAGTAGACTATCATAATCAATACATTCACCCCAAAACTGAAGGAAACCAATTGCGCCGTTTTGAGCCGGTGTAAAGACGAATAATGACCCCCATCGAATAATGACCAGAGGTCATTTTTCGACAGCGAAAAATGACCCCCGGTCATTATTCGACGTAGAAAAATGACCCTTTTGCCCGTAGAAAAAGTGTCACCACCCTAAAAATTTGCAGAACCCACGTGAAGAAAAATGACCCCCGTAGAAAAATGACTCCCTGTGGATTAAATCTGAAATTTTTAGGTGGCAAAAAAAATTAGATAAAGAAGCATATTGGCCAAAATGCTCACCTGAGCTTATTTAGAATAAATTGATGATATGTTGATCTCATAACATACGATTATAGCTATATTTTAAGGTCAATGCGATGATTCAGAATCTAAAGGAGTAAAGATTTATCGAGCCTAAAGGGTTAGGTAAATATTGTTTTTCGATGGTGGAAATCATCGTACTGTCAGAAAAAATCTGCAGTATCATGTATTATTATGTCCTCCGCTTCAAAAGCGGGAGGGTGTATAGTGATCGGGATGTCCTTCCGTCCGTCTGTTACGCTTTGGGATATCCATCTGTTATCCGCAGCTCCTCTTATATATAAAAAGATGTGTTTGTGAAACAGCTATGCCCCTGTATGGCAACATAGCGAAGATTAAACTTTTTCTTAAATGCAATTAAATATAATGGTACCCAAAGTAGGGTCTTCTCACAAGAAATACAGTTGCAAAATAGGAAAGCCCTAGCACCACTTGTTCAAAATTAATGGCTAAGGATAAGTGTTTGAAAGGTAGGTCAAACTCAAAGGTCAAAGGGTCAAAGTTGATGGTTTCTTAAGAAAGGTTTAATGTAACAAGCATTACATTTGTGAACTATGAGAGTACTAGTATCTACCGTTTAAAAGTTATAGCCAAAGTAAATTAAAAACTTGGCATTTTTGTGTAAAATGGGACAAACTAAAATGTAAAGGTCAAATTTGGTAGTACCCAAAGTAAGGTCTTGTCACAAGAATGTACACATATTGAATATGGAAGGCATAGCTACAATAGAAAAGATATGGTCAAGGTTAAAGTTTTTGCGGAGAAACAGACCGCCAGATAGACAGACATACAGACGGACACGATAAAACTATATACCCCCTAATCTTCGATTACAGGGACATAAAAAGAAATGGTCTTCAATTAACTTTTCATATTATGATACAGCATAAAGAAGACGTTACAAAAATCAAAATGTTTGTTCTGATTTTCATATTCTCTGAAAAATATACTCAGAGCTGGGTAAAAGGGTGGAGTAAAACAAGAATTAAGAAATGTAATGAATACTGTGTGCTAAATCAAAAGGTTATGTCTACATGTATAGTTTTTGCATTAGAATGTGTATTTTACACTAGCCCATAGCTTTACAGAGCATGTTTTAGGTGTTATACCCACCCCACCCCCTTACTTATTTAGGAGGAAGTCGATTATCATCAAAAGCAACAAAAAAAAACAAAAAACAAAAACAAAACTACCCTACCTTTATTTTTCTATAAGAAAGGACTAAAAATAAGCTTAAAATAATCTACTATTCTACTAATTTTCAGCTGTTACTTTGCCACAATACTTTTAAGTATACCCCCACCAATATTTAAAGTATGCTTTAATCATGGAGAAGTAAATAATGATATAATGATAGAACTTGTGTGAAGGCTTAACTTCATTTCAATATTTTATCTAGGGCCTTTTTCAGTATTATTGAAAGGTATAGAGTTTTATTTATATTTTTGCTTTTCATTTATTCTTTTTTTTTGTGTTTTGATTTAACGTATTTTTTTTTTTGGGGGGGGGGTAAAAATTTCCTCCTCTTTTATTGGCAAATATGATTTGCACAACTTATACAAGCTAAAAGTTGAAATGAAGGGAAAATTAATTTTTCTAATAAAGAGTATTGGAACCTGATTGTTGGATGGTTTGATTTCTAAAAACAAGTGGAATATCATTCTCTAAGCAAACACAATTAGGAGGAATACTAAAAAGAAATTTTATTTACTTGACAATTAAAGAATCTCTTTTCATTTTAAGGGGGTTGTTTTTAAATGGGGGTCAATTTTTTATAGGACTTACATATAGAATAATGACCCTTACGACACTTTTTCTATAAAAAATGATTTTTTTTCTACGGTAGGGGTCATTTTTTGTCTTTGAAAAATGACCCCCGGTCATTTTTCGATGGGGGTCATTATTCGTCTTTACACCGGTCAACTTTACTTTCGTGTTCCTCTCACTTGCGCATGTGCGCGTCGTTTGACTAATTTTTCGGCGTGGTTACCCATGCTCAATATAGCCATGGTTTGAAAGATAAACACTCTGATGAATTCTTATGCAAAGGAGAATCTTTAGACTGTGATAGATGCGCGGGGGAGACATTGAAGATAATGAGAGTTTTTGATTTTTATTTTTCGGGGGTATTATCATATGTTTCAATAACTCATGAATTATAAGACAAAATCAAATGAGATTTTGGTTACATCTTCTTTAAAGATGATTTTAAAACTAAGGTAGGAGTACTGAAAATAATAAAAAAGAAAAATGAATTTAATTCGCCTCAAAAGGTTTCTTTTTCCTTTCAGTATATATTTGACAGTTTGAATTTTTAACTTACAATTTTTTCAAGAATTCAAATGAACTTATCTGTGTACATTTTAATGTAGCAGATAGTTTCATGTGTACACATATGAAGATTGATGCATGTATTTCAATGCATGGAGACATGTTCTTTTAATATAGTCATTGACAATCTCACAAAGTAAAAGTCCAAAAGTAAAGTACGTACATGCATGTATGTATGTAAAACATGAAAGTGGAAAGAAACATGGAAAAAAAACTAATTTTTTTTAAATATCGGAAAAAAGGGAAAATGATTGTGGGAATATTTATTAATGTACAAAAAAATAGTTTTTGAGATATTTGTCTGTGCATTAATACCCATTCTCTGTAACCACTTAAACTTTTAAGGCACGCATAGTTACAGATTTTTTTTTTCAAATTTGGCTTGAAAGTACATGTACCACCTCATTAACTACTTCAAAAAAATATTGTTAGATCATATAAATGCTGATTTGTTACCATGGAAACGGTGTCTAAAGTTGATTTTTCCTTTTAAAAAATGCAATATTTGGGAATGTTTTTTAAAGAAATGCGGCTACTTTAATTCATGTTACATGTACCAACAGAAATAAATCAAAGTACTGAAAGTACTGGGAAGCGCTAAGCATATTGATTTGAAATTCATCATAATTATATTGAATTTTCTGTTCTCATGATTTTTAAGCAATAAATTATGCTGACTTTGGGACAACACTAGGCGAGCACAGTTGTTTAATACATACATAATCAAATATGTGAGTCATGAAAACTTCCCGTTTTGATATTCAATTCAACATTGTCTTATGCCTTTTTGTTTTAAGCATTTCAAATTTTCTTCGTCTGTCAAAAGATCAATCAATGCAATTTCATATACATGAAATTGCAAGAAAATATTTCTCCGTGTAAAAATATTTTCTTTCCCCAATCGCCTTGAAGGAATCTATAAAAGGTAATATTTGCGTATATTATATAACTTTGTGAGATCTGGTAATCTGATTGGTCAATACGAAGTAATTATTTTTTAATAATGACCGCTGAAAGCGAATAATGACTCGCACGAGCTGTCTCGTTTTTCACTTTCGCTTTAGACAAACATGGAAGTTCGCAAGTTTGCAAGTTGTAGGTTAGGAAAATTTAAAATATATAGTGAAGAACTATGAGACTGAGAATACAAAACAATTACAAGGATATCTGTGAACATTTTTCGGGAATACTTAGCACATACCATTTCATGGTTGAATTCGACTTTTCCACTCGGCGAGTTTTGACGCTAGCGCTGTTTCCGCGATTACGGAGACTAAAGAAAATAAAGACTAGCGTGCCATGTATGATTGTATCTTATCGTAGAAGAAATAGGTATTTATATTTTGTCAGTGCATATAATTTCCTCTGCAAGTGTAAACGAGTGCGATTCTCAATCTGGGGGAGGGGGTACTCTGTGCTATTAGGAGATAGATATCTTGCGTTATTATCATGCTATGGTGGGTTAAAATTTATTACCGAAACAAGTTCCTCTGGGTAACAATCAATAAAATCTGAAACATATACATTCCACTTATTTATGGTTAATACTATCTCTGTAAACATTAGGAAGATATACATTGTATTAATAAATTTGGGGAAATATTATTTATATAATAT